CTACAAAGAAAAAATTAAAAGTATTAAAAAAATCAAATTGATTGAAACATGGTAATAGGAAAAATTGAACTCTTAATTTTAATGAGATGGTATAAAATATTTGCTTTGTTTGAGTCAATCTTTGTAATTTAAAAATAGTGGCCATCATTAGATCTTCATGTAAATTTTTTTGTAGTCTTGCTAAACATTTTTTAGTATCTTTTTAAATAAAATAAAAAAATCATCACAAGTTACCATCAAAGCATTTATCTTTATGGATTGTCTACAGACAGAAAACTCTCTTACTTTTTAATTCTGTAACTTTGAAGCAAAATATAAAAGCAAACAGAAAAAAATGTTTGCTGGCAGTTATTAGCTGTTCATTAGTAAATGCAAACTTTGTATAACTTGAATCCAAGAGCTTGTATATAACTAATAACATTAGTTATATACAAGATTTAGTTTAAAATTTATAGTCCAAGACCTTTATTTTAATACATTTAAATTGTTATCAAATAAAATCTCAACTTCCTGAATTCAGGTGTTATCTCAGAATGTTACATGTTTTTCAAGATCCTGCTAAGTTCAAATATTTTTGGCAGATACTTAGTTTTTGCTTTTAAGAGTTGTCAAAATATTCCTGCTAGATTGCCAAAAAAGTTGAAATATTTTTGGGTACAGGATTCTCATGTCTTTAGTATTTATAAGTATCTGGGACTCACTTTTTTCATAAGGGACCTCAAAATATTAGGTTAAATAATAGTTAGTGTTGTTGCCAATTTTACTTATATGGTTATTTTGGCTATATACAATGAACTTCATTAAGCATAAAACTTTTATTTTTTCTACTGAATATCCTTTTAGCTGTTTGGTTCACTTTTCTTCTATATTTTATATATTCTACTACACAATGCTAAGTAAAGTGAATGAAACTTTTTTTTTTTAAAAAAAAGAAAAAAGAAAAGTTATTTGTATTAAATTTTTCTCTACATTATGAATATTTTGTTTATAATTACACTATTAAGCCTACTTCAAAATACATTTTAGTCTGTTTTCTCTATTTATTTTTTTTAAAACTTAAATAAAGTGAAAGTATACAAGTGATTTTAGATGTTCATTTAAGTAAAAAATAAACAAAACATTGGAAAGACTTTTAATACTGAAGTAAAATCAAGATGCAATGTTTTAAGAAGTGTCAAAGACATTAAAAGTAAGCAGTTAGATGAAGAAATGTATCAATTTAGCAATAAACATAGTTAAGCCACAATCAATACAGCAAAACTTCCACTAATCAAAGATAAAAAAATTAATTTATAAATGACTATATTCAAATTTTAAATAAGTTGGGGTTAACAAGAAATTTTTGAATATTTTAGAAGTAAAAAAACAAGTCTGTTGATATCATACCGCTAAGCTATCTCCAAATGCTCAACAAACAAAAAAGCTTAAAAAGACTTAGAAGCGTTAAATATTAAAAATTAAAATATTAAAAAAACATCACAAAAGACACTCGAAACTATAAATAATGCTTTTAACACAAAAAAATGACACATAATCATCTTAACAGAATAGCTGAAGAACTTGTAAAAAGTAATGTTTTTATTGATATAAATCAATAAGAAATAGATGAATAGCACAGAAATATTGATACCATTAGAATTTACATATGAATCATAATGAAACTCTACAGCTTGTGAACTATGGAGTTGATGGTGCTTCTAATTTCTGCAAGTGACAGAAAAGCCAAGATCACAGTGCACTTTAGTCTATACAATAAAGCATTATAAGTCTATAACAATGTTTGACTGCTATTCAGACAAAAACAATATAAAGCGGTTGATGTTGTCTGATCATTATAGTCACTCTTCAAGATTTTTTATCTAAGAAACAAAATTATTTGACTTTTCATCACTCTATCTAACATAATTAGCATTACTTCGCTCCTTTTTCTTAGAAATTGCATTCTGATGACAGATGTTCTAAATCTGCACTTCATTTTCTGTTTATGACAATCAACAGGAGAGGTTTCATGAATATACTTAAAATGTTATAGCCAGAGTGGGCATCAAAACCAACTATCATAGATTTAGGTAAAAAAGATTGGCATTTCAAGTTAATGACTCAGTGTTGAGTGTATGCAGAAAGAATTTCTAACAAGCCAAATTTTATAATAATGAAAATACCAAAAACCATTAATAATCAGCAGCAGTAATAATCTTATATCCAAAACATGTTTCTATGACTCAGCAAGCTATTGGAAACAAATACAAAAGGTTATCAGTCAATAGCTGATAAATCTTTATCATTGAAGAAATACCTAATTTGTTGGCTGTAACTAAAGTTAACTTACTTGCTAACTGCTGTCACCGAAAGATTCTATCATGCATTGGAGGCAGCAAGACAAGGGCTATTGCTCTTGACAAATATAAAGCTTTCGATAAAATTTGGAATAAAGGTCCTCTTCATAAGCTTGCTTCATATGGTGTATTTGGGAAAGTTTTTGAGATAATCATATATTTATTATATATATATATATATATATATATATATATATATATATATATATATATATATATATATATATATATATATATATATATATATATATATATATATATATATATATATATATATATATATATATATATATATATATATAAATACAAAAAGCTCACCTCCAAGTCAAAATGCTGTAGTGGTGTAGTGGTAGAGCGCTTGCTTCATAAACAAGTGGTTCCGGGTTTGATCCCCATACGTCCCTGGTAGTACCGCACTCAACTCGTTTCTCCGCGCAGCAGCCTTGTTCGTCAAGGTTCGTGTTTTGGAGTTATAGAGTTGAGAGAGGGTTATAGCCACAAAATAAGTAGCCTCCTCGTCTGTAGTGGCCTTCTCAGCCTTGAGGAGATAAATTTAAAAAAATAATAATAAATAAAATAAAAAAAAAGATCAAACTGCATGTTACAATTTAATAATGTACATTGTTTAATAACTATAAAATGTCTAGCCACTAACTATTACAGTTAATAAAGCTTTGCACAAGTGGAAAATGCCCTTTTTCTTCAGAGTTTGAACACAAGTGTCAGATGATGCAATAATTTCATGTCATCTCCCCAGCCTAACTTATCAACAATCACTTCTGTCTCTTTCACAAGTTTTGCTTGCAGTTCCTCATAACTGTTCATCAACTGAGGTACAAAAGGATACTTAGTGTTTTGAGACTTGTTGCTTCATCCAGTTAACTCATCAACCACCACATGCAAAACGCTATCAAGCACACGATGCTTGCAAGAAATAAACAGTTGATAAACCTCTTTGCTGAAAATATTTGCTTAAGTCTTACAACAACATCAATTTTTTTTTAACAACATCATTCTTCCACGGAAATTTCATCAGTAATAGTTTCTGCCTTTTTTTCTTTCAAGCACAGTGCAGCTAATTTCATTTCCATTCTTTCATTTTTTAATACAACAACCTGATTTTCATTTTTATTTAGGTGGTTTCCATCAAAATGTAGATACCAATGTTTAGTGATTTAGTTTTTAATTATCTCTTTCTTCAGTTTAGAAGCTTCCTTAATTACTTAAGCTTCCTTAAATACTGACTTCTAAACTCTGATTTGACTGCGTGTTGGAATGTTAACACCATCGAATGCCATTTGCTTGCAAATTTTGGCAGCTTTTTTTTTGGATGCTGTTGTTAATGTCACTAAGTTCACGGCAACTTTTATAATGTTATGTTTCTTTTTTGATAAGCTAATATATTTATCATCGTCATCATAATTGTTTTCATATTCACATTCTAACTACAGACTTATCTTCAGCTAACAACCATACTCCGTAGCTTTTTTAATATCGAGTAGTTTGTCTAATGCATCGTATTTTCCTGCTTAACACATTCATCATAATTTTTTAACACACATGAAAGTTTTGCTTGTATTAATTGACTGGATACATGCATAAAATCTAATTTTATTCTTCTAAAAAAAAATTTGAACTTCTTTGGGAATGTTCGCTATACTTTCCTTTCATTCTTTGAGTTCAGTTCCAAGAAACTGGTATCACCCAACTACTTTCCTTTTGAGTGGTGTTCTATATTTTTCTTTGAGTAAAAATTCTTTTAAATGCACTGTTTATGGGACTGCTAAAATCACCTTTTATACCTGATTATATCTGATTTGGAACCTTTTATACCTGACTTGGAAAATTTTGAAAATGATCTATTGCACTTGATTAAAACAATAAAGTTTCACCCTATGAAAAATAAATTTTAAACAGAATTAAAGTTAGATGTTAAAAACATTTAATCAAACCCTAATATTTTGGTTTTTGCTGATAAAACAAATGACATTTACTAACTCACAACAGAAAAGTATGAAAAAATCTTATGCGACAATATTACTAGTTCTTATGAGAAAGCCCCTAAAAATATGGAAAATGCAATTAATTTAGAAGCAAAAAGTATTGCTAAAAACATAAACCTTGGTAACAGAATCAAATCAATTGCTTCTGTCCAAGCCTTTGTAACACTAAAAGACCATAAACCAAATTCTCAAAACAAACTTTCTTGTAGGTTATTGGTTCCCTCAAAAAGTGAGATTGGACATGTAAGCAAAGTTAAATTGGACAAAATTAATAATATTCTTAGAAATAAATTAAATTTGCATAAGTGGAAAAATACCACTGATGTTATAAACTGGTTCTCCATAACCGAAAAAAAAAAAGACTGTACATTTGTTTAATTTGACATTAATAATTTTTACCCCTCAATAACTGCAGATATTTTAGATAAAACAATTGAATTTGCGAAAAGCAACACAGTTATTCCTGAAGAAATAATCCCTATAATAAAACATTGTAGAAAAACCTTACTTTATTTTAATAATAAAACTTGGAAAAAAACAAACATACATGACTGCTTTGACGTAACAATGGGCAGTTATGATGAAGCAGAAATTTGTGAATTTGTTTGACTATATATTTTAGATTTATTAAGTAAAATAATCAATATAAATGATTTAGGTC